TTTTATATTTTTAGTAAAGATGGGGTTTCATTATGTTGCCCAGGCTGGCCTTGAACTCCTGGGCTCAAAGTGATCTCATTCCAGAAGTTAACTGTTAAGGTGGGTTTAAACAACAACAACAAAATACGAACATTGCTAAAAGACAATGACACAAACATTAAATGGTAAATGATCATAACCACAGTTGACTTTATAACTAAATTCTATATAGTCATAAAGGTTTTGAGTACCTCTGGGAAAATCTATTTCGATATCCAAATCTGGTTCGTATGGTACATCAGGCATGCTGGACTGTGTCTCTGGGTCAGAGTTCTTCAAAAGATCTGAACCAATTATATCTGTTTCAATAATTACACCTGAAATCAATCCATAATATCATTAGAAATCAAAATAGAAAACCCCGACGGTATCTGTATTTAATCTGGCAAAAGGAAATCATTTAATTTTAAATGCAATGTTAAAAAAAATACATATAATGTCACAAAAGGGCATATTATATATAAAACTATCTCAAAATGTAAACTACTATAAACCTCATAATTAATCACAAGTATATGAAAACTTTTAATTCTATACATTTTACAGGAAGACTCCCTTCAAAAGTTAATAGGTATGCTTTGATAGTAAAACAACTTCAACATGTAAAGCATTTCTAAAAGCAACTTTTTGTCAAAAAATAAACTAATGAGGGCAGACAACTGTAGTTTTCAATACTCTTTGAATTTTGACCTAGGTTTCTCAAATCATTCAATATACGCTTATTAACAACTCCTTCTGATGGTTTGATCAGTTGCTTTCAAGTGTTTTTGTGTTGTAATCATGGTAAGAAACGAATTTTATCCAACACATACCACAAGGTGATGGCAGGGAACAGAAAGACATCTGGATATACACTGGTTTCACAAAACAATACCCTTTCTATGACGGATTCACATTGTAATTTTTTTACACTGTTCCATTTTGGGTTTTTTCCTTTTCTTAAAAACACTGGTTGCAACCCACTAAATTACTTTCACAACTCCTTACCACAGTGCTTCAAAAACCCTATCTCATTATGAAATCCAGAGAAAATTATAGGATTTTGCTTGTCCTTTAGGGTAAGGGTAAGAATTAGCTCAAGGTTGAAATAGGGCTCTGGGTATCACCAGAGGGCTAAGGGTAGAAAATAAATATTCTAAGTGACTTAGAACCATCCGCAACACACTCATCATGTTATACCATGTAACGCAAGCACTGCCCTAACAGAGGTCAAGATAAACTCAGTTTAGACAATGCAAACTATTTTATTAGTATAAGCAATAAAAGAAAACTGGGGGTGTGGTGGCTCACACCTGTAATCCCAGCACTTTGGGAGGCAGGCAGATCACCTAAGTTTGAGATCAGCCCGGCCAACATGGTGAAACTCTGTCTCTACAAAAATTAGCTGGGCACGGTGGCATGCGCCTGTAATCCCAGCTACTCAGGAGGCTGAGGAAGGAGAATCACTTGAAACCAGGAGGCAGAGATCTTAGTGAGCCAAGATCATGCTATTGCACTCCAGCCTGCGCTACAGGACAAGAGTCCATCTCAAAAAAAAAAAAAAAAACTAGAGATGAACTTTGATCACTATTAGAGTCCATTGCAAGTTATTATAGTTTTGTATTCCACTGACAGGAATAATTCTAAGTTGATTTTATGAGTCAAATCCTGCTTAAAACAGAGCCCAAGGACCAAATTCCTGCTTTGGATATTCCGTCTGAGGGCACCCGGCTAAATATAGTGTAGATCTCTTAATATAGAATATATTTTTGTTCCAGTGCTTTCCTTCGCCCCCACAACAAGTTGAAACACAATGATATGCCCTGGAAAGTACTGTAAAAATACTTATAAATAACCAATGGTAACACTTATTTGCAAGGTATAACATAGTGTAGGCTCACTGTTGATGTTGGTAGTCTCTGTTTTCCCCTCATCTTCACTCATCATATCTGTTATTGAGAGCAACTCTGTATCAAGAGGATCTGAAGAAACCTTGCTTTTGAGCTCCTCAATTGCTGCAGGAATCTTCTCACTGCTGTCCAATGGAGCAGGCAGAAAAACAGGAACTGGCACCTAAGTAACCAAAGCATTTTGAGTTAGGTTTACTAAACATTAAAAGGTATTTTTCCAAATTAAAAATTACTCTGACACATGATCTACTTTATAATATCACACTGGATAAAAGCTTTGAAAAAAATGCATACAAAACTAAGATGTCAACTGTGACAAGAAAGCCTAGAATACAAACATCTACTTTTTGGAATAAAAATTAAACAAAAGGAATTTTTGAATTTCTGTCCCCCAGGGGACTATAATAGCCAAGTCCTGATACAGTGTTCTAAGTACTGCAAGTGATTTGAGATGAAATTATTTTATATAAAATTCTGTGTTTCAGTTCTAAAGCTTATGGCTTCACAAATATTTCTATAGAAAATGAGCCCAAATATAAAACTTAATATGTATAGAGCAGACGCGGACATCTGTGAAATGTCACTCTCCAGGATGAACATACACGTACTTAAACACAAAGCACTCAATCATGACAACAGAGATTCAACCAAATCTAAGTTAACTGCTGAAGAAAGGTAAAGATGGTTTTATCAGCTTCACTAAACTAGTAACTGCAACTAGAGTTATCCTCAGTGTTTAAAGGGGATTGGTTCCAGGACCACCCATGGAAAGATACCAGAGTCTATGCATACTCTAGTCCCACACCCTTACAACCAGCCTTCTACACAGATTTCACATCCTTAAATGCTCTATTTTCTTTTCTTTTCTTTTTTTGAGACAGGGACTTGCTCAGTAGCCCAGGCTGGAGTGCAGTGGTGCAATCATGGCTCATTGCAGCCTCCATCTTCCAAGCTCAAGCAATCCTCCTACCTCAGCCTCTCAAGTAGCTGGAACCAGTATGTGCCACCATGCCTGGCTAACTTTTGTATTTTTAGTAGAGATGGGGTTTCACCATGTTGCCTGGGCTGATGATATGCCTACCTTGACCTCCCAAAGTGCTGGGATTACAGGCAGAATACTGTATTTTTAGTCTGTGTTTGGTCACGGATGTGTAACCTGCCAAAACGTAGAGCTGCCCAGATTTATTGGGAAAAAAAACCCCACATATGTGGATGTATGCAGTTCAAACTCTTGTTGTTCAAGGGTCAACTGTCCATTGTTTTCCCAACTGTGCCTGCTAAATCTCAAAATGAAAAAGAACTTAAAATGTGACTTACAGGAACAGGAACTGTAGTAGGAACAGGAATATTCTGACTGTACATGTGCATAGGAACTGGGATATACACAGGCACAGGGATAGGCACTGGAACATATTCTGTCTTCCAAGTATCATCTAAAAACACAAAACACATTAAAGGAGCAATGTTAACTAACACTTATATACAGGTCCTCAATGTTAAAATAACTTGATAAAGAAAAACTTAACTACCTCAGTACCTTGTTATTTTTTTTTTTAATTCCCAGTTTTTACAAGTTAGGTAACTTAAAATGAATAGGACAGAAAAGAAACAGCTGTTCCAACTTACAGAGAATACAAATAAAATTTAAGGATTTTTTTTAAGAAAGAAAGTATCTGTTAAAAACACTATATAGTTTCAGATGTCCTACCATGCTGTCCTCAACAACCTCCCCAAAGGCTTATTTAATCAAATAATTAGAATAAAGACAACACTGTAATTTGATTTAAAAAAAAATACATACTTGAATGATTTCATCTCATTCTGACAGGAAGGAAACAGAATTGTTACCATTACAGACCACATGTAAAGATGATTTTCTCAGAGGAAGCGCTATAATTTTAGTAGTCTTAGCCCCAAGGAAATTTTTGATATAGTATTTTTTCATTTTTGACATAATTTGTATTCTAGGCTTTTAGCAGAGATTGATCATAAATAATTTAAAATGAGATGCTGTATTCTCCAGGTAATATATTTAAAATTAGGTAAGCAAAATTAACAGAAAATGACAAATTGACCAAACAAATGTATCCTGGAGGCTGTCATTCAAGAAAAGCATGTATTTCATTGGGTGATATGAAAGTATGTGGAAGCAGTCACACTGTGCTAAGTTACCTGTCTGACAAGATTTGGTCTGCATGTGAGGTTTACAGTAAGTAGCTTTTGTCATTGTTAAAGGTTTGCAAAGAACTGCTTTGTTCTTCATCTCTTTGTTAGGTGTTGGAGAAGGCGGTGGTGCTGAACCCTATGGAGAAGCAAAGAGAAACATTTTTATTTTTATGCCTAATTTCAATACTTCCTGATAAAGGATTTTCAGTCTGAAGAAGGGAACATACAAAAGCAGAAGAGGATAACCAAATTATGTTATCACTGCTATGTTCACCACAGTCTTAATCTATAAGGATCACTGTGATCTATCCTACTAGCAAAGTGGTAGCGATATTCATTCTATAGATTTATATCACCTTCAAAGGATAACATCAGAATGATTTTAGAAAAATATAAAAAGACAATCTCACTTTTAAGTACAAAATCAAGGTTGTAAACCTGAACTATGAAAATACTTAGGCTCTTTTTAATTTATTTCAGAAAAAGATCTTACAGTTATTATGGCTATCTGATACTCTAGCTCCCTCTGCTGGATAAATGGCTTTAAATATGATTATAAATTTGAAAAGAAAAATGAAAGCAATTACCAAAGGTATTCTCCAACTTTAAGTTGTATATTTCCTGTGGCCCCGCAACTGGAATTTCTGGAACCTATCCTACAGACAGTCTCTCAGATATTTCACACCAAGTTCACTTTAGCATTATTTGCATTGCAAACAAAACCAAAAACCACATAAATAAAATCTGAAATAAGTGGAAGATATGAGCATAATGTATGAAAAGGTAAGGTACTCTCCACATCACTTACTAATATGGAGAAAATGTAGGTACATAATTTGGAATAGTTGTGTTCTATACAGTGGAGACTACTGTAGTGGTTTAGTAGTCAAACAATGACTACTGAACCACTGCTGCAATGGGAAATACAGGATTAGGTTCCTGTGAGCCTCTGGTCACAATGTTTTCATCAACTGACCAATACATAATTTTGTTAAAGATACTTTATACAGTATTTCTTAAAAACAATATTTCATTACAGCATTTTTGTGTAATTTACTGTACTGAGATCAATTCATACACAGTACAGATACAATACAGCATATGAATACCGTACAGCACTCACACAGCACACGCATACTGTACAGTACTCCATACACACATTATACAGTACAACACTGTGAACACATTTACTGTACCTTTATGCAAATAAGTCCTAAAAAATATTAAATAAAAATTAAGCATTCAAAGGTTTACAAAAGCAGGCGGGGTGCACTGGCTCACGTCTGTAATCCCAAACATTGGGAGGCTGAGACAGGTGGATCACATAAGGTCAGGAGTTCAAGACCAGCCTGGCCAACATGGTGAAACCTCATCTCTATTAAAAATACAAAAAAAAAATTAGCCAGGCATGGTGGCACCCACCTCTAGTCCCAGCTATTCTAGAGGCTGAGGCAGGGGAATCACTTGACCCTGGGAGGCAGAGGTTGCAATAAGCTCAGATCATGCCACTGCACTCCAGCCTGGGTGACAGAGTGAGACTTCATCTCAAAAACAAAACAAAGCAAACAAACAAAACAAAACAGACATTAAAATTTCACTGTGGATGGGGCTGCAGAATGTGTGATGAGGCAGTGCACTGTATAGTCTGAGCTCTCAACCTTGGTGTGCCCCATGAAAACTGAGGTCGGTAGAACTGGCTCTTGTGCCTTGTTGACAATGTCAGTGATTTTCTTACCCAAGGTGGCTCTAAAAATTGTGTCGGCCTTGGCAGCTTAGCTTTTAACCTCCAATCTTTTAAGCATCTCAAGGCATGTTCTCAGTAATGCTTAAATTTGAGAATGTGCTTGAGCAAAGCACATTTTTCTGTTTTGTGTCTTTTTCCCAAGATAGAATTCCATTCTGATATCACTTTCCTTCATATTACCAAAGGCTTCTCTGCTCATTTGCTGTGTGATGCACCTTCTGTTTTCAACACTGTTCTTTATAATTTCTTTAACATCTTTTCAGTCTGAGCAAACATTTTCCCAACTTATCAATAGCCTGCTTGATACTGCCCCCAGGCTCTGTCACCATAATCAAGAAGCTGCATATTATGACTGCTTCCAGGAGTCTATCCCTGGTGGCTTCCTTGTTGGCAGTGAGAGCCTCACATGCCTTGTTACAAAGCTCCCTCATGTGGTGCACTGTGAAACCCTTTAGTATGCCCTGAGGAGCTGGAGAATATACAGTGTTTGGGGGCACAAAAAGAACACCTACATTGGGGCGGGCACTTTCAAATTCTTCATAGCAATGAACTGGGGCATTATCCAGTAATAAAACTTTGAAGCCTAAGTTTTCACTCTAGAGATGGTGTTCAACTTCTAGGATGGAGCAGCAGAACCAATCCCAATCCATGCTTTTTTTTCCCACCTCCAATGGAAATGATATATGCTTCACATTTTTCCCTGGCAATTGCTCATGAACTTTGAGCTCTATATATCATTAGGGGTTTGCATTAAAAGTGCCCTTGGCATTGGTATATAGTAACGACGTTGTACTCTCTTTGAATGAATTAAGGCCAAGGGCATTTCACAGGTTCATATGTCAATGACCTTGTAAAAAAATAAGCCGGTCTCATTAGTGCTGAAAACTAGCTCTTCCATATAACCTTTTTCCTGTATAACACTTAGCAGGTGTTTTACCATAGCATCTTAATCTGCAAAACTCACCTCACCTTCAAGATTAACATTTTTCATGCTACACTGCCTTAAAATGTGTGAGCCAGCCAGCACTAGTCAAGAAGGGTCTAACATTTTCCTAACCTTGAATAACCTGTTATGAGGTGAAAGTTGTTCAGTATGCTTAAATAAAAATTATTGGTCATAATCTCATGAATCCACAAGTTTAGTCATTATTCTATCTTTTCCTTAGCTTCACTACAAACTAGAGGATGTTACTACAGCATTTGTAGTGGCCTCATGTAAAGACTGGCAAATTTCCTCTTCCTTTTTCTAGACGTACTGTAATGTTGATTCATTAATACTGAATTCACACCCAGAACATTATAACTTCATGCCTAAATGAAACCTTTCTAACAGTATTTTCTCCACAAGGTGCATCAGAACTTTCTTGCTCTTAGTGACACTAGAAAGCACTTCAACACCACACTTGCTGGCCCTTCTAAACAACAAAAATCATCAACAAAAAAACACAAAAATGCAAACAACAACAATAAAACACCCTGACACTAATTAGCCTAAGAAAAGGACACTTGTTTATAGTATGAGAGCTGAAACAAAAAAGGCACAGCATTGCTTTGTTCTACCTCAACTGGGAACATGCACATTGGGTGACTCAAATTTTTCACCATTTTGCACATCTGCAAATGTCTGTGAAAACACCTCAAGTATTGATCATCAATATTTTGGTGGATAGACAAATTTGAAATCCATGAATGAGGACTGACTGTACAATCACCCCTCTGTAAATGTGGAGGATTGGTTCTAATCCACCAATGCCCCTCCCTTACTCCCCATACCAGAAGCTGTGCATACACAACTCCTACAGTCAGCCTTCGTAGAACCCACCTATATGACAAGTCTAGCCTCAAATTCGCATCCTAAAAATCCTGTATTTTCCATCCAAGTTTGGTTGAAAAACAAAAACAAAACAAAAAAACCCATGTGGAAGTGGACCAATGTAGTTCAAATCCATGATGTTCAAGGGTCAACATTACTTAAAGCTACTGCTGTGTGACATCAGGCAAGTCACTCAATGTCTTATGCCTCAATTTCCACCACTGTATAATGGAGAGAATAACTTAGCAAACAGTATCTGTTACATACCAGGCATATGTAAGCGGGGTCTGAACTAGCAAGCATCTTATACCCCAGAAGAGAGAATTCAAAGTCACAGATGTCCTGGGATTGCTCAATGTTGCGCTTCTTACCATTCCGCAATTACTACTTTATGTCAATTAACTATTCCATTTGGTGAAAATCTACACTTGAACCAAACTTATTTTTTAGGATGTTTTTCACTTTTTTAGTCAATAGGCAGGGTCCACAGTTATTTATGTATGCTGAAGTAGGACCCAAAAGAACAAAAATTATAATGAACAAAAGTTACCAACTGTTGAGTATTTGCTAGATGCCAGGGACAATGTAAAGCACCATATCTTGTTTCATCCTCCTAACACCACAAAAAGTAGGACTTTTTATCACCCCCATTTTAGATATGAAAAAACTGAGGCTCAGAAGTGATACAACCTGGCAAGAGGCACTGAGCTAAAAGTTCTGAAACCAGGATTCAAGTAAGAGTCACCCGATGTCACAGTTTATGTTCTTTACTATACATACTGCCTCTATGTGGTCTGGAACAAAACAGCCATCCCATGTTTAGTATTCATCCTGATGTGGGCACTATATTCATCTTGATTTTTCAAATAAAGAAACTCACACAAAGAACAGTGAAGTAACTTGTCCAACATTATACAGCTAAGCTCTCATCCTTTGACGTTTATGGGTGGACAATCAGAAGATTCCAAAAGTTTACAAAGAAAAGATGAGAGAGGAGTTTATATGACAAAACGCAACAATACAGGTATTCATCGACTTACGACCTATGCAACTTACGACCATTCGACTTTACGACCACAATCGCTAGCCACGACTGCTCCGCATCTGGCAGCGCAAATGTTGCCCAGCTGGGCGTACCACAGTGCAGACCAGCTTCTGGCAGCACTACCATCTCTGCGTGCACCATTTCAACTGTTATCCCAGACTCGGTACAGCAATTTGTGTTTTGTGTCTTGGATATTTTTCATCAAACCTCTCCCAATAAACTTCTTATACATTTCGAAGCAATGGACCCAAACATCGAATGATTCGCAAGGATTGAACGGATGGTGCACGATGTGTTTCGTCCGTATTGTGAAATTTATGAAGAAAAAAAGAAACATACAATTCAGAAAAAGCTCACCATGTTTATGAAAAAACCAACTCCGGTAACCCCAACTGCTGCCTCAGATGACGATATCAACGATCCGCAGCCAAGCACCAGCAGCCAATAAAATGTTTCGAACATGTTTATATATTTTGATATGTTTTGCAATTTGGAAAATGTTTCCTATGGTATTTTTTATACCTGTATTTTGTATTTTTGTATGCACCTGTATTTTGTAATTTTGTATGTTTTGCAAATATTAAACCAGTTGTACTGGTAATGCAGTGTTTTACTTAAACCTGACGAATGTAAAAATCAGAAACAAAATGGTGTAGAGATGAAACAAATGGCATAAAATGAACAAAGAAAATTATGATACATAACAATGAAAGACAATTATGATAAAATATGACTTAAAGATTTTTATAACATCATTTCACAGTACTGTACATATAGCCTATTCAACTTACGACCAAATCGTGTTATGACTGGTCTGTCAGAACCAATCGTGGTCGTAAGTCGAGCACTGGCTGTACTGCAATGGCAGCCTTACTTATCCTTCCCTATTAATAATGTTGCCTCTATCCCTCTGTCATACAGTTTGGCTCAAGTGGTGTAGGAGGAGAAAAATATTTAATATTGTGGTAGTAGAAAGGGTTTCTAGTCAAAGCACATACCTTTGAAACAAGGTTGAGTTGCTTTATACATATAAATATAAAATAGGGAGTAGTCATCTTTTATACCCTAAGCATGGATGAAAGTGTCTGGTATTACAATCAGATAATTCAGCTGAATACTTTACATACTTCTAAATTATCTGATTTTAAAATGCTACTTCCATAAGGAGGGGTACGGATGAGAAAATCAAGAAAAAAGTACTCTTACTTTTCTAGTGTTTTTTCCAACTATAAACATAAAAAATATGGAATAGAATAAATGTAAAAATACCAATTTTTCATCTATATCAGTTTTTCTCATTTCTGGTTACATATTAGAATCCTGAAGAACTTTTTTTTTTTTCTGGAGACAGAGTTTTACTCGTGTTGTCCAGGCTGGCGTGCAGTGTTGAGATCTTGGCTCACTGCAACCTCTGCCTCCCAGGTTCAAATGATTCTCCTGCCTCAGACTCCTGGGTAGCTGGGATTATAGGCACCTGCCACCATGCCCAGCTAATTTTTTTGTATTTTTAGTGGAGATTGGGTTTCACCATGTTGGCCAGGCTGGTCTCGAACCCCTGACCTGAGGTGATCCAACCACCTTGGCCTCCCAAAGTGCAGGGATTACAGGCATGAGCCACCGCACCTGGCCATAACTTTTTAAAAATACAGAATTTCTGGGTAGAGCCCAAGCATTGGAAGGTTTTGAAAATTTGCCAGGTGACACTAATGAGTAGCCAGAGCTAGGAACCACTGATCTGTTCTTTTGTAACACAACAAGAACTAACCCAGAGACTTTACTGTGACGCCAATACATGACTCCTAAAGAACTTCCCTCCGATAAGGATGCCAGAAATACCAGGACCCACCACTAGTGATTTCTGTAAGATGCGGCATGCCAAAGCCAGGCAGTGCCTTATCAATCTCCAGAGTGTGGCAAGAGCACTGCCTCTTTTCTTTAGTAGTCATTAGTAACATCAATGGCAATTTTCAACCTATAAACCTCTTAAAATGCTAACAAAAGTAGAATTTGATGCATTACCCCAAAAGAAAAATAAATAAAAAAGAGGAAAAAAATCCAGGATACATTGTGTATTTCCCAAATTTAAAAACTCTAAAATTCTAGCCACCAACATAGACCTTCAGATCTGTACTTGAAAAAACACACATAAAGCCATTAATAATCGGGCTCAGCCTATTCCTTCAGCTTCAGTTTCCATTATTCTACCAAAGATCGCCTTCATTAGAGCTTGGCTCTAATAAGTAGTTCTGCCAAATACACATGTACTTAGCACATACATTCTCCTACTTTTCACGCCTATCTGGCAATCTTCTGCTCAACTGTTTACAGTCGGCTTATTTGTACCTTTCAAAACAAATGGTCATTTCAAACACACTATTGCCACTGTCTCAAAGATGCATCTATTATGGGAACATCCGTCAACTTATCACTTATGTGTCTATTGCCCCACTGTGAGCAGAGGCTATAATTAATTCTCCTTTATATTCTTTAGCATGCATGACAGTCTCTGGTATTAATAAAATTCAGCTGAACACTCCATTGTCCCAGTAAAGAAAAAAAAAACACTATTATGACCACATTAAATTGGTCTAATTATTTTTTACCCCATATTATAAAAGTCACAATTTAGCACTCCATTTAAGCAATACTTACTGTCATTTTGGTTCGAGACGTCTGACAACCCTGATCTAAAAAACATAAAAAATTTAAAATAAGACAAATACACTTTCTTCAGAATTTTCTAAATCCCTATTTCTCATTAAATTTCACTAGTTTAAAATGTGACCAAAGAAAATGTTTTGGACTATTTTAAGGAAAGAATTTTAAATTTGTATAGAAAGCATAGAAATATAGAGGTAAATAAATGAAATTAATCCTTTTCTCCTTTTGCCCCCTCTGAAAGTATACACTGCTTTGGGGGAAATACTATTTTATATTCTTAGATTTATATCTTAAATGGTATATCTTTTTCTAAAAAAATCATTTAAAATTGCAGATGACAGATGACAGATGGATGTCTATTCTTTTTAAAATTTTTGTTCTAATGTGCTGTTTAGCCTCTCCTCACTCTCAACTACACCTTGTTTTCTCAATTAGCATGAAATTTCAAAAAGACAAAAAAAAAAAAAAACACACACACACACACAAAAACAAAAAGCAATACATCTATAGAAACAACATACGGGGTACTTCGACCCAGAGAATCTGTGTAATTTAAGTTGCTGTTAAACTGTCTCTGAAATCAACTATTCATTATCAGTGGTTTGGATGCAAAACTACCTAAATAAAGACTGATGTACAGGGTTTTCGAGTTATCATGTAAATTACTACATACCATAATGTAAGTTTTCAGGTCCTTTCTGAGTTGTCATGTTGGGCTCATTTTGTTGACAGTAGAAACGCAGTAAGCAATGTTGATCACAGAAATGTTTCATTTCCCCACGCCACTGAACTCGCTCTTTAAGAGTTCCTTGAGATTTACAACAGTCACACCTTGCAGCCTTAATTTAAAAAGGAATATTTCAGACACTGCAAATTATTTTTGAAGATTTCTACAAGTTCATCAGTGATTATTGCCAAATGTGATAAAATCGTGACTGATAAGGAAAAAACAGAACTATAATATAAATCATTTATAAACAGTAAAATCTACAATAAGTAAAAGTGAAAAAAAAACAAAAGGAGCAATTTTTCTAATTGATGAAGTCCCATCCTATACTTACCAGAAGTCAAAGACCAGCATCACAAAGGTAGGGTAACTGAATAGATATTGGTAGACCAAATCAGTGTATTTTAATGTTTTAAATAATTTTGAAGGCCATATATTTGTAGAATCATCTCCTACAATCATTATATTGAACATTATGAGTAATGAACAGATTTTCCAGGTTAGTTGTACAAGATAAAGGTAATTTTGAAGCAAGCTCTTATGATGGGAAATTTGTGGATGTTAACTTGAAATATTTCAGTTTTTCAACAGCTTAATATAAATCTGAAAAGCTTTAATACATTTATTTAATTTTAATAACAAGAACTTTCAGTTCATATTTTAAAATACTCAATGTTTAAATTTTCTGAAAGCCAATATATCTCTAAGACAAGCAATTTGACCCATATCTAGGAAAACAACCAGCCCAATGGTCCACAACTTAACTTGCAATACCAAAAAAGATACAAGAAAAACAAACTAAAATTCATAGAACTGTACTGTATTTTAGTGAATCAATAATCTTAAAACAGATTTTTGTTTTTTAGGTATCTTAATTTCCCTAGATTTTGCCCATTTTCACTATTAACATGTTGACCAATGAGTGGACCAAAAATATAAATGCTGTATCTTCAAATACAAAAAAAAAAAAAAAAAGACATAATTTCAAATACAGTTCTTTTCATAATTAAGTTTCTGATCTAGAAATAAACTATTTTTTTTTCGATTACCATTTGGCTTAACAGCTTTGAAATTTTGATAAAAGTAGTAACTGTTAAGTACTTTGCAGTTAATAATTGTGGCTATGGCTTTTCCTTTATTACTCTAATCTAGAGTTTTATATTGTGGATTTTTTAATCTCTCACTTTATATTTCAACAGGAATTCTACAAATATGTCAAAACTCCTGGTCAGGAATATTAATAAATGATTGTGTTGATAAACAGGTCTTATATAACAAACATACCCCAAGGTTAGAACACAGGCTCTTTTTTTCTCCAGGTCAGGTATTTCTCCTGCTGAATAAATGTTAAATGAATGAAGATTTATAGTATAAATTATGACTAAGTGATGCCAATATCATAACTCTTGTCCAAAAACTTGTGAATCCAAATTTTATACAGCTGATGATATTATGTGATTCATCTCAGTAAAAGTAGCACTTAATATCAACCAAATTCTTATTCTCACTTAAGAACAAAAAGGTCCCTTTGTTACATTCTCACCAGCAAGACTATTCTTCAAAATAACCATAGAATTGTTCCAGGGTCTCTTTTCTTTCTTTCAATTTCTTTTTCTCTTTTTATAATTTATACTCAAAGAAAAGAAAAAAAACATAAAGGAAGCAAATGGAAGCTTAATACTTTATTCACTGATTCTGAACAGTGCAAGAACAAAGCAAAAGTAGACTATCTCGTTCACTGAGAACCTGAAATAAAAGCCAAACCCATTGTATCTACTCTCTATAAATCTTCACAACAGCCCTGCAAAATGGGTACTGCAAACTAAGGTCTAAAAAGATTAAATGGCTTGACTAAGGTCAAATATTAAAAATGCAGAGACAGGATTCAAAAGGCAGACAACCAAGTCAAAACCTAGGCTTTATCCTGTACACTAAGCAATGAAGACAAAATGAGTTACTATAAATGAGTAGAGAATATATATCCAAACACAATACAAATAAAATGCTGCAAAAAAGATTCTCAATTTAATATTTAAAACAGAAATTTGCATTAATTCAAATCATTACAAGTACTACGCTGACTTTGTAATATACAGTAGTATTTCCATTTGGAAGGCCAAGGGCATAAAATCAAACACATTTCACCCAAATAATTTTTTTTTTTTTTTAAATGAATGAGAGGTTCTTATGTTGCCCAGGTTGGTTGGCCAGGAACGCATAGCCTCGGCTCCTCAAGCACCAGGACAACTGGTGTGAGCCACCGCGGCTCCCCACCGAAATAATTTGAACAATGGAATCACTTCTTCATTCTACAGACATTTGGTTTTTTGTAAAATCAATACTTAAAGCTCCCTTCTTTTAAAGGTTCGAAACGAATTTAGGTAATTTCCCTCTACCCAAAGGAAAAAGGGGCAAAGTTAATACCAATTTACAAATGTAAACAAAATAGACATGTATTTTCTCAGGCTGAAAAAATAGTGAGAACTCAATACTAATAATTCCAAGTTTAATGCCATAATCAAAATTTTGGAGGTTGTGAACTTTTCTTTCTTTTACATCCAAGCAAGCAAACTTCTCGTAAAGTGTTTGAAATTCAGCTAAAATATAATGGCCAATATGAAAAGATCATTAATGACCATCGTTCCTTACCAGCACCAACACAACTCCACTCCAAGCCGCACTCCCTAGCCACTTGCAAAAAAGAATTATTAAGACATCATAAAAAACAAAATAAATGGGACATAAGTCTCTGGTTTTAAAAATACTACATCATCTATTTTGTGGTTTTCTTGTCATTGTGAAATCAAGAATAGCAAACTAAGGGGGAGCAAAGACAAAACAAGTCACAGGTTCAAACAAATCTAAGCAACAGCCAGGTACTAAACTCTGATTCAAAAACCTTAATTTAACCTATCAGCTTAACCAGAATTTCATTTTCAATAACTCACAAAAGGTCATTCAGCCTATCCTGACCCAGTCCCTTCCTTGGATGGTTTCAACGTTTCTTTTTTGGTTGATATGTACATCGTTTTTTAACTTTCCTATCCATTTGTTCCCTATTTCACCAAACAAACCTTATTTTCCAGGGAAGAACTATGAATATGAAAAAGATAGGGGCATTTTATAGACACTTTAAACAGGAACCCTTTATGACTTCCCAATACAGCTTTCTGAGCACAATGGAGTGATTCACTGCAAATTAAAAAAAAAAAAAAAAAAAAATGCAGTGATAAAAGGTTATTGGGTACTATGCAAAGCACAGGAATTCTCCAGTGACCAAAAATATCTATTTAAAGCAAGAATATTAAATATTCTTTTCCTAAAATTTCAAAAACAATTTTAAAAAATTGATACAACGGTTTATAAAGAAAAATTATGAGTCTAATATTAAAGCCCATAAATCATACTGTTAAAATTATTACACAGCATTTGTATTAATTTAATATTGCCACCATTCAGTACTTGTTTGGAAAACAAATAAAAGACTGTGTTTAAAAAAACTACAATCGGAAGTAGTACAGTTTAAGAAAAGCTTAGGTCTATTAAGAAGACCTGTGACATACTGTTGGAAAACGGTGGACCTTTTGAAATATTATCTTTACCATTTATCAAACATCTTCTAGCTATTATTGCATTACAATACTAAATCCTTTTTCTTTAAAAATTTTTAAACTTACACACATCAAAAGAACTATCTGGTTTTACGTTATGCCTGGAAACATTTACTAAAGGAAAAGTAAAATCTACTTCGTTTTAAAAAGGTATCTGGGAGAAGAAAAATACATTAATTTTATTTTCAGCATTTTTTGGTTGCATGATATCACAGATTTCTTATTCCAATTTAGAAGAGGCGAATTTAATAAATCTCTATTTTAAATCTAGAAGCAAACCAAAATATAGACCAGAAAGCACAGCTCATTCAGTGTAAACAATTTTTTTTGTGTCCAAGATGGAGTCTCGCTCCGTAGCCCAGGCTGGAGTGCAGTGGCGCAATCTCCACTCACTGCAACCTCTGCTTCCTCTTGATTCAAGCAATTCTCCTGCCTTGGCCTCCCGAGTAGCTGGGATTACAGTCACACACCAACCACCATGCCCAGCTAATTTTTGTATTTTTAGTAGAGACAGGGTTTCACCATGTTGGCCAGGCTGGTCTTGAACTCCTGATCTTGTGATCCGCCTGCCTTGGCCTCCCAAAGTGCTGGGATTGTAAGCGTGAGCCACTGCACCAGGCCAACAAAATTTTAAAGCATAAAATTAAACTTAATAAAAATTAAAAGTTATACTATAGGTAGTAATCTCTCAATCTAAAGTACAAAGATAAGAGAAGGTAAAAATACAATGTGTGTGCACTACTGTTTAAGTGGGAAATGTTCACAGCTAAACACGAAATAATAGCCAAATTGGCTAGGTGTTGATTTTTAAGCTTCTGGGATGAAGCACTTTTTTTCCTTTGGCTTGAAACTTATTTTTCTGATAAGTCGGATTGAGCTGTAAGGGTCAGAGGTTTTAATGCACTAATATATAAACTTTTGAGTATTTAAATAAAAAAGATAAACCATAAAAGTGGGGTCAAAAAAACCCATAGTTAATTTACCACATTTTCAAGATGATATCATGGCAACAGTGAATAGAAAGGATGCATAGGGCAGGGGGTATAAAAAAAAACAAAAAAGGAAGGGGAAAAGAAAAAAAAAAAGAAAAGAAAATACGGTCTGACTCAAGTAGAAAGCACAGAGAATAAAGTTACTATTTGATTACAATAATGGTTGCATGTAAAAAAGGCGAGGATGAATGAAGAGAGACAACTCTTCACACTTCAAAGATTGTGTGCCATACTGAGTATATAGAAAAATCAGCATTGCTATTTGCTTTACAAATTTTTACCATGTAACAAAAACACTCTTACCTTTATTCCTCAGATTAGTATAATATATAATAAGCTATTACGTATATTATACACAGATCTGTTTAAAATAAGACAAGGAAGGAATATATAATGTATTTAAGATACAGAATACTGACATTAAACATAACTAGATGACTGTAACTTGGTATTTGACTAATGTATTTCTTGTAAATTCTGAAATGCACTGCTTCATTAGATCTTCATCA